CAAACAAACAAACATGACATGGGGACGTGGCAACTGACAGGAGGAACAAACAATGGACTGACAAGGACTGAAGGAAATCAACCAGGGAACTAAATACAAGCAAACTGACAAGACGACAGGGAGAACCTGGACAAGACACAAGCTGCTGAGGGAGCTGACACTAGGGGTCAGGTTGAAACAAAGAAAAACTTCATGAACAAAACATGTATAAGACACACAAGGAAACAGACATAACATGAGAAACTAAATATAACTGAACCAACAAAAAAACTGATCATGAAAGTTTTATTTTTGTATGTTATGTCATCACAGTAACCTTCTGCCTCTTTTTGGAAGAATACAATTCATTAAGTCAGATCACACGTATCTCAAGGCACCAGTGCAGCACAACTTTTACCATGGTTAAACATACCTTACATTCTAAACCTTTTTGACTATGTTATGGTAATATTACTTCTGGATGATTGTCCTGTATATTTCAGTTTGTATGTTTAGGTTTTAAGAAAGAATCCCCAGTAAGGCTGAAGTAACTGATGTATGTCTGTGCTGGCCTGCTTATCCGGGTGAATGATGGCTTTTAATTAATGGTCTTGTAAAAGGAAACCCAGGCGGGCATGCTCCTCCATAGGCCGCCGATGTTTGGAATGGTTTATTAATGCTTTGACCGGTTAGCCTTGGGTGAAAAAAAGACAATTAGCATTATCCAGTGCCATATGCTGCCCATTGACTAGCAAAGGACAAAAGCCTGGGCTCCCGTGCGATGCTAACCTGAGCTCTCATGTAACTAATATCACCGCCAGTCACATGTGTAAGCCAGAGGACCCAGGAGAGCTCCGCCCCTGCCAGAGCACTTTAATTACACACCCCGACAACAACGTGCTGGAGTCATGCCCGCTCAGCAAAGCAGCCGGAGTTCTCAGTCCACCCGTGTCCTGCATATGTATCACATTCACATGTGCTGTGCAAGTGCAAACGTGTGTATGGGATTAGCATATTTTCCATCAATTCTGCGACAACCCGTAAAATGAAAATCATTTCAGCAGGTAAACAACCATTATGGTCATCAAGACTTGCAACAGTGATAAAAGCTGATCCGTTGATGATATCATATTGCCTCGGTGATGGGTAATTAATTATATGACGTTTGTCAGAAAAGTTCCAGGACTGCTGTGACAAAGGATATATTTCAAACACATATTAGTGTTTTCCCCTTCACTGAGGACCAGATGATCAACCAGCACGTCTACAAAGAGATCATGTGGTGTTTTATTTGTTCAGTATGAGAGCGAGAGTTGTGGTTGGACACCACATCATGACAATACATCTACTCACAATGGCCTGAGTATCTGACAGTTTCTGGCCATGAAGAACATCCGCATTCTGGAACCACCTGACCTCACCTTGTTCCATGTGATTCTGACACAGATTTTTTTCATCATTGCATCTTACCGTATTTTTTGGACCAAAGGCACACTTAAAATCCTATTATTTTCTCCAAAATCGATCGTGCTTGGAACCTTTTGTCTTTATGAATGTCATAGTTTGAGTTCATCGTCTTAAATTCGAATTCCTTTCTGTTATGTTAGCGTTCTCATTCATATACGCAACAAATCACGAGCGGGCGTCTGTTTTCGTCATACCGGAACTAGAACTAGTTCATGCTTTTGTACCTTTTTTTTGGTGAATTTTCCTTCCGCATTCCAAAAACATGCATGGCAGGTTAATGGAGCACTCAACATTTTCCCTAGTTGTGATTGTGAGTGTGAATGGCTGTTTTTTGTCAATATGTGCCCTGCGACTGACTGTCAACCAGTTCATTATGCTGTCAGCTGGGATAGGCTCCAGGAGCACCCCTATTCAGGATAATGGGTGTTGAAAATGGATGGATGGTTGTGAGTGTGAATGGTTGCTGTTTGTCTATGTGTGCCCTGCGATTGGCTGGCAATCTTTTCAGGGTGTACCCCGCCGGCAACCTGAAGACGGCTGGGATAGGCTCCAGCATGCCGTGACCTTCGTGAGGACAAAGCGGTCGAATGATTGATAAATGGGTTTAACATACAATGATTCCCAAAAATAATGTGCCTAATAACTAAAATAGACCCAGTCATTGATAATGCCCCTAATAATACACCTAATAATAATAATGGTCCGTAAAATAGGTGCAATTACAAGAATAAATACAACTAACATTTATCTCATCCTTCTGTTGTGCCGTAGCTCTGAATGCCGAGCGTTATAGTTCAGTCTCTGCTTTACTGATATGGTCATTTTTTTTTTTTTTTTTTGCTGCTGTCTTCAATAAAAATGGACTCATTGTAGTAGTCTACAAATATATGCTGAGGAGGCATCACCAAAGCTGTTGTTCCAATTGATGTGGTTATTCGCGCATACGTTTTCATAGTCCCCTGCACTACTATTTTTACTCGGAAAGTGAGGTAGAATAGAGACACCGTGGATTGGAAAAGCGACATAATTCTATAATGTGATAAAGTTTTTTTCATACCCGTCAGCAGTTCAGAGATTCGATTTTATTGCCTCATTAAATGAATCATTTTCATAAGCTGTGGACACAATAGATCAGCGCATGGAAAAAAAGAAAGTATATGCAGTATGACTGCACACATCTGGTCCGTGGTGTGACGCGAGGCCATTAAGAGAAATTGACCCTACAAGTGAGCAGAGAGTGGGGCATTTACTGCGAATGGACAATTGGAATCTAGCTGGCAGGTCTGGCTCTGATTAGTATGACATGATGAGGGTCATCCAGTGCTCTCCGTGGGAGGGCGAATTTGTCCAAACCTTCGATCTTTTCTTCCTTTCGATGAGCTCCGTCGGCTTTTACTCACCCTCTCTCCCTCCATCTGGAGTGGATGAATTCAGAAACCACATCACTGGTTTTTGGCTCCAAGTCTCTTTTGATCCTCCCACCAACTTGGCACACACACACACATAAGCTGTTCAACAGCGTGCCCATTGTGCTCTCGTTTGACTCCACCGCCCGCTTGCAGGTACAAATCTAAAGTAGAGCAGACTGTTTTTGGAGCATTGATTTGAATTTGTGCCTCTCACGGAATGCGGTCATTTGCCACAGCCATTTAAACTCTGCAAGTATGCGACTATCATTAAAGCTCCATTGGAGACTGTGTTGATCTAAAAAGCAAATACTGCCGTTTGATGCTTGATGAGCTTGATTGCTTGCTTGTCATTAAGGTGGATGCAGATAGTAGCATTTGCAGTTAGATATCTATAGGACAATTCATTATTAATATCAACTGTGATTGGGTGGCAACCGGTTCAGGGTGTCCCCTGCCTACTGGCCGAAGACGGCTGGGATAGGCTCCAGCACCCCCCGCGACCCTTGTGAGGATAAGCGGATCGGAAAATGGATGGATGGAATTAATACAAGGTTTGTGTGTGTGTACTGGTAATAACACACACATATACACACACACACACGATTCCCTAATTATTGAAACGGCAAGGTCAATTCCTTTGTTTATGTTGTACACTGAAGTCATTTGGGTTGCAGACCAAAAAAAAATTAGAACAAAGTTCTGAATTGCAGCTTTTATTGCATAGTATTTACATTTAGATGTGTTAAACAACTTAATTCAGTTCTTGTTTATTGCGGGGGTTACGTTCCAAGAAGAACCCAGTATAGGCAAAATCCGTGAAGTAGTCAGCTTTATTTTTTACAATTATTATACAATAAAATACTGTACTATAGAATGAAACCAAAAATCAAATCCTCTTTTTAACGTAATGTAAATTTGGCAAGCTGTACAGAGACGAGGCAAGGAAACTGTTGACATTGGCCTGCAGTCCCTTCGTCAATCAGGATGCAGAACACAATTCACTGTTACAAAAAAATAATAATAATTAAAATGGACATAAAAAAATGCGCGAAACAGCGACGCTGTGAAAGGTGAACCGCGTTGTAGTGAGGCTTCACTGTACATGTTTTAACCCTGTAATCCTCACCATTAAATTCTGTCACATTTTTCTCGTTGAAACATGCTCAAGGTTCAAACCTTTGCAAGAAAAATAATTATCAAGTATTATTATTATTATTATTATTATTATTATTATTATTATTATTAATTGTTTATTGTACAGGAGACATGGAATGGAGGAGATGGATTCAAACTGGTTTACAGGACCTTAGCCTATCAAGATGCAGAATACAATACGGATTTGTATGCTGTAAAAAACAGAATGCAGAAATACACAGTTCCGTAAAAATAGAGGAAATCAATTAAGACACAATGCAGGTTGTAAGCTGTTAAAAAAAAAGGCATGCAAAAGTGCACTTTAAAAAAATCTGCTAATAGTGAGGGATAACTGTGTAAGTATATTTATATATACCACGTGTGTGTGTGTGTGTGTGTGTGTGTGTGTGTGTGTGTGTGTGTGTGTGTGTGTGTGTGTGTGTGTTTGTGTCTGTGTGTGTGTAGAGGGAGGGAGGAAGGGAAAGAGAGAGACAGAGAGATTTGTGAAGTTCGCTGCCACGATTCAGCACTTGCATTTTTGCTTGAGACAAAAAACATTGACCAAGCTACAGCTCATGTCTGGAAACTCGTGAGTCAAGTCATTTTTAAGATGACGTGCTGCTGCACTTGACTTGACCTCAGATATTGTATCAACAGCATGCACATAATGGGTTGCATGATTGCTGGAGAGTCATCACATTGGCTGTGAGCAGTTGAATGTTCAGCACCGTACTTACTTGGTTGTGGACAGAAAATAAATGACATCTCACAGTGCAGCACAGCACAGTCACAATATATTTTGGTCTGTTCCATGTGCGGTTTGCATTGGGTCTTCAATTTATCATGCTTGGCCAATTTTCCAATGTATTTTGTTATAAGAGGCTCAAAAATTGACCTTGATTTTATGAAGCTAGAAATTGACATAACACTTGCACTTGCTCTGACTCCTCAGTGCATGAATTTATCAGACAATAGCTTTTTTTACGAATAACATTTATGATGTGTTCATAGGTGTACGCCCCATCTTCAAACTCGGAGGACTTCAACAGAGACTCGCCCTCCTACTCTTCTCCTAAGCCCTCCAGCAATATGTTTGCAAGCACTTTCTTTGGTAAGTAAGGTTGTATTCCTCTTTGACCTCATCCATATCAGGACCTTTTATCCACGTTAAAGATAAATTGGTTGTTTGTTTTACTTTCCTATGATCTTAGTTGCATTGAGAACCAGGATCATGTTTCATTCCCAAGAGTGAAAAATAAAACCCCGCTCAGTGGATAATCCCATGTTGAGGGTTTATGGCTCCCGCGGCTTTGTGTTGAGATTCAAAAATGCACCCTAATAAACGCATCCATATATTTTGTCATTAGATGGTACCCACAGTTCATCTGACCCTTGGAACTCAACCAATGGGATTAGTCAGCCCGGCTATGGAGGAATGCTTCCAGGATCTTCATCTCACATGCCACAGTCAGGAAACTACAGCAGCCTGCACTCACATGACCGTCTGGTAAGCCAATCAGCGGGTGACAATCCTCTTCCCAAGTATTTGTGTGCAGTTCGACAGTATCATCTATTAGAATTTTGCCATATACTGGCAGGGTGCTTACTAAATTACGGGGAGATCTCGCCGTCAATTTTAGGGTTTTAATTGTATTTTGCTATCACAGCAAAGATATCTGTATACTTTTCAGATTCAAGCATGCAGATAATATTCTACTCCCACATTTTTACAAAACAAGCCCCCACAGTATGAAAATGTGTATGTTAAAATTTTTCTCTGGCCATTATCAATGAGGATTTAACCAAAGCTCCGTGTCACTTTTTGATCTCTTCTTGTCTGCTTAGGCCCGTCCACCCTTTCTTTAACGTTGCTCCACAGACACGAAGGATGAACATGATCTTCCAGCGTTTCAAAGTTGTGTTTTGTGATTTCCAGACTTACCCAGCACACTCCGCTTCCCCAGACATCAATGCCAGTCTTCCTCCAATGTCCAGCTTCCACAGAAGCAGCACAACCACTTCACCATTTGTCTCTGCAACACATACCCCGTCGGTCAACAATGCAGATGGGGTGCTGGGTAAGTTCTCATGTGCTGCTCTTAATGCAAATACAGGGGCTTGTTTGAACATTCGTCTAGCTCACTCTCTCTTTCTCTGCGCGTTTGAAGCCGCCACAAATCGGGGGAACGCCACTGGAAGCTCACAGACTGGGGATGCACTCGGCAAGGCTTTAGCCTCGGTGAGCTGCAAACACACGCCCGTCACGCATTGAACTGGAAGCTTAGTTTGGCTCTCCAACGAATAAAATGAGACTGGAATCTGCACTCTTTTCCGAAATGTAAAATTAATTGTGGGATTGTTTGGTCTCGATAATTTGCTTCAAAGCTGTGCTGTCTAATGTGTCAACTGTGATTGCCATTCCCCATCTCTGTCTGACACGTGTGGATTAATGATTAAAAACATTATTATTAGAAGTAATTCTGTTCATCATTTGGTAACGGCTAAATTTGCATAAAATTCATCTTCAGATACATTGTTCCAATTTCTGCGTTTTTCCCTATAATGGATTGAACCTTTGTCCTAAATTCCACTTTTCATGAAATAAGATCCACAATTTTGTTTTTCATATACCTTACTCAAATTTGTCAAATAACACATTTGGATTTCGACAAACATTACAGACATCAGTGAAAAACTGGAAAAAAAATTCTGAATGGAAAATATGAGTTTAGCCATGGTAATAACAAATTAAGTCTTTTATATTTCTAGACTTAATTCTCTTAGCATGACAAAGCTGGAATGAAATGGACACGGTTGGACAGCGTGGGGTAGGTGCGTGGAGCGGGGGCACTGGGGAGTTTATAACTGCTGTGGCTCAACTCCACGGGCCGCCCTTTGTAGAGTTTTTGTCCGCCCCCCAAGCCCCCTTTTAAATTGGCCCTTCTCCGCCTGCGGGAGTGTGACTGATGAAGAGGCGGGGCTTCATTTGTTCCAGTAAAAGGAACCCTGTTTCACTTTGAATGCAGCGTCCTTGGCCATATATCGTTTGGTCAGAAGTCACGGTTATAAGCAACTTGCGTTTGTGAAACTGAGACATGTTTGGGGATTTGTGTTGAGTCTTGTTTGTATCTGACACAGTGATGACCGCATTATTAATCCGTCTTAGTTTTCCACTGAATTCCGTGCCTGAGAGTGTCGGGGAAAAAGAAGAACACAGTTCTTAGTGCTAGAAAAGCTTTAATAGCCATTCTGTCCATCCCTCCCTCCCCCTTTCCCTCCATGCTCAGTGCCACACTTGCCTGATACTCCAAGTTGATTGAAAACGTAAAGCCCAAAGATCGGGATTGAATAAGGAGATTATTAATGAGGACATTCTATCATCTCCAGAGAAGTCAAACGGTTTCCTGCCAGCTCAATTTGATCATTACTGAGCAGAGAAATCTCTATCTATCTGCTGCTTTTTCCTGCTAATTAGTGAGGATCCATTTCGTGGCCTTTTCTCAGAGACATGTTCTATTACAGCACAATATCATCTGATTAAAAGGGAAAAATTGGGGAAGTGATTGTGCTTTAATCAAGCATTTTGTCATGTCGAAAAAAACGATGATTGCTCACTTTTAATTAAACTAGAGCTAACGTATGGAGCAACATATGATTGAGTGTATCCACAGCAATATCGTCTGTGACATCTGATGCCGCATTCTTTCTGCTCTCACAGATTTACTCACCTGACCACACAAGCAGTAGTTTTCCCTCGGACCCGTCCACGCCTGTGGGTTCCCCTTCACCTCTCACAGCCACAGCAGGCGCTGGCTCAGCAGGGACTGTGGTAACGGCTGCTGGCACCCCGTCTGGAAGACCAGGTAAAACCCAATTCTTTCAGTATGATCCTATGAACACAGTCTCGAGGTGCATTCTTGGTTGTGACTTCAATTACAGTAACCTTTTAAAGGCTCAAGTTACATATTCACTTCAATGGTACTGCACTTGTGCGCTTCTTTTTCCAAAAATTTGCAGTGCATCTGACTTAGAGGCATTCACATTTTAGAATTCCACTTTATATGTTAACTTTTTTAACTCTGTGTAGGATCTGTGAATTTTTTTCAATAAAATGGCACCATGAAGTGTGTATGTGAGTAACAGACTCATTTGCCTGTTTTGGTGTTGGCAGAGGAGGCCAATTATTGAGTTAACTGTAGACAGAAATCAAATAAACATTCATTGAGAGGTAGCATACTTGACACCTCCACCCTGCACTTACGTCAACTCTTGAGGGACAGCAAACTTGCTCCAAAGCTGCCTGGCCTCCACGTTTCATCCGTCGAAACCCTTGATAGAACGTGAAAAACTTGAGGGATCCCCTCAGAACGTACTGGCATGCGTGGTAAACCGCTGACTAAAACATTTTGAGCCTTTGAGTAGCCTCCGTTGAGTGGCCAGCAGGAACAAAAAATAAATGCAGCCTAAACTCACAAGTTAGCTGTCGATGAGTGATTAACTTCTTTTAGTTGGGTTTAAAGGTTGCGTGCCATGGAAATATTTGTCAGTTTTTATCAAATGTATGTGAATGAGTACAACAAAGAGAGGAGGGGGGTATCCAGCAGATTTTGTGGCCAGCTGCTCTGAATCTGCACTCCTTGCTGGCACACCTCCTGCCGAAACATCATGCGATGCAACTTGTGCAAGGTGCCTGCAGGTTGACAACAACAGCTCCTGCGCAGCTTAAATCAGTGCCTTACTTTCTGTGTCCACTCTATTATAGTCTTACAACCCACACAGCTTCTCGGTGTGGCAGAGGTCCTCGTCACATCTTTTCCTCAGAGCTTTCATGCTCATAATTCTATGGCTTGCTGACACGCATCTGCTCAGATCACATTTATTTATTTATTTTTTTTTCTTTTGGGGGTGGGGGGTGGATTGAAATGTTAATGACAAGCCCCGGAACAACAATGGAAATATAAATGAATGAGGCCATGGCTTTTGAGCTGCTTAAGGATTTAAAAAGATTTGTTTGAAGTGGTTTTGAATTACATCGATGAAAAGCTTTTTGTTTAGTTTTTTTTTCTTTTCTTTCTTTTTTTTTTTTTTGGACTAAGCAGAACATTGTGTAGCTTTTAAAAAAGTGGCTTGTGGATCGCTGTGTAGTTTGTAATACTAATCCTACATTTTTGGATGAAGATTTTATGTTACACTTTTATTATCTCCATTATTATTGATTTAACTCTACAACACTATTTGTAGCCCATATATGATGTCATTTAAATGACTGGCATGAAGCCTTGCAGCCATATTAAGACATGAGAGTCACTAATGTGGGGGGAAAAAAAGGGGAGACGCCAAGTAGGAAAGCCCAGTGTGTTTTTTTACTGGACAGTTGTTTCAAGTATGGTAATGGACTGGTGACAGCTGTCTTTACCTATGCTCCTCTCATCCTCAGCTGTTGCCCTGCCCTGTGGACAGCTGTTCCTCTAACACATACCCACACACATGCGCGCACACACAGAGCTGCAAAAAGTCTCTGCCGGTGGGTGAAACAACACAGCACCCTATCTTTTTTTATTTGGATACACAAAAGTGTGTCCTCAAAAAGAATGCCAGTGGCATTAAATCCGAGTTGGAAAGTCAAATGCAGAGAGGTTTCCCCGCATTTTGTGAGGTTAGTAACAGACTGGTTTAGTGAAAATGGAGACAAAATTTGGCTCGTGGTGCACATTAACTAAAAACGCCATTCATCATTAGTGTTGCACCAAGATACAGAGCATTACTCATCAGATGTTTCTGCAATCAGCCCTGCTGTTTCTCTCTCTCTCTCTCTCTCTCTCTCTCTCTCTCTCTCTCTCCCCCGTGTGTGTGTGTGTGTGTGTGTGTATATATATATATGTATAAATTTATAGCCATCAGACAGTGGAGGCATGTGAAGTTCATGCCTTGCTCATCTGGCAGCAAGATGGAGCTAAACCCAAGTTCTTTTCATCTTTTTTTTTCTCGTGTCTGAAGTCTTTCATGCCAAGGGATGACAGAGAGTTACATATGAAGTGTGACATTCACTGAAACAATTGGAAGGAAAACAAGCTAAGCTTTTATTTTTGTGCTTGTTTCTTTTGTGGTATGGTTAATATCAAGTCTTCACTGTATGGCACTGTTGTTTTAAGTCCCCTTTATTTCAGAAAGTTTTTTTCTTTACTGTCGGTTGTTATTCCCCATTTCAGTGTAAGCAGGAATAAGGCATCAGTCTATTTAGAGGTGAAACCAGTGCTTCACTTCCTCCATGTGAATCTCCCCTCCCCAAAAAATATATATATGAAGTGTCCTGTAACATCATACTAACCATAATCTAAATGAATGACTTGGTTTGGCAATCCTCCACCAGACAGCACAGAACTGGAAAGTGCTACAGGCATTTCTTGCAAATAACCTGGAAAAGTTGTCAAAGTCTATTATGGTTATGATTGTATGTTCCCTCCCGTTACAATACATATTCAGCTTGGTTTAATTGTGCCCCAGGAAAAAGGAATATGGAATATCATCTATTGTAAACATTATTTATCTCTTTTTTTCAGTTTTTTTTTTGCTCCACAATGAAATGAATGAAGTTTATTAAATATGTAATTGGTGCTTTCTAAATCATATTCAATTGAAAGAACCTAAAACTAAAATCCGTAAAATATGATTGAGACACAAAGAAAGACCAGTTTATTGTCACTGTTGGCTAGAAATCGTGTCTGACTAAGTGGTTAATGTTTTTTGTGTTTTTTTCCCCCACAAAATCAATACCATAGCTCTGTCCCCACGTTGACTGACTTATTTTTACTCAATATTAACCAACTGAACACCTTGAGAAAAAGTCCATGAACTCCTTTGAGCACTTGGACTGAGAAGTGTCATAAAACTCTCTTTTCATGACTCGGCGGGATCAGTGCAGCATTATATCACCTCAAGACTGATCATCTGGATGTTTTTTTGAACAATAAGTGAATATAGTTAGGTTATTTGTATTTGAGTAAGCCTTTTTTGATGGTAACTCAAGCAAGTGATGCTTTTTTTTTTTCCGCAGAAAAGTCATGATTTTGGAGATGCTAGCATTCTGCCCAGCAGCAACGTTATGCAAGAGCATCAACTTTTATTGAGCCTTCATACTTGACACATTGCTTTTATTACATACCCAGATTAAGACCATTTGCCAAATGGAAAATTTACATCTAAACTCTCAGATTTGCTTCAGGTGGTGGGAAGGAATGGTGTTACAAATCAGATTCGTCACTGCTCATATTATTTTTCTTCCTTGTCGAAACAAGCCAGAGATCCAGGATATGGAAATGGGGGCGTAAGACAAACTCCCGGCCAGCTCGCGTGTCAGTATGCTGCTCAGAGATCAGGAAATGATGTAATCTCATCCTTAATGATAAAAATATCTCCTGACGCCAGTAAATTGGCATGTCAGTGTGTTATGACGGTTAGCTGTTGTTGGTGTCTGGAGTCAGTGAAGCAAGACGCAGCCATCAGCCATGTTGATATTAAATGGAAGCAGCATCAATTGTCAACTTACCTACAGTGAACCTTTGTCTCTTTGCTTAGGGACCAACCAGTGGCCGCGTCCTAGTGGACAAACCGCTTCTTCTCCAAATTATGAGAACTCACTTCACTCATTGGTAAGCTTTCTTCCTTTCTTCATCCGATATGGATGCTCACTTTGGTTGTGTTATCATGACAATGAGATTTCCACAAATGTTTGTGGAGGATTAAGTGGAAGGTCAAGGATAACTGAACAATACCTGTCCCTTAGGACTTGCCATCTGTCTCCTGCTCCAGGATTGACACTTGAGGGGGAAGGGTTTAGTTCAAGGGGCTGCCAGCAGCTGTATGCAGAGCCCCTTATCCAGGATTCCTTTACTGCCTTGCTGCAGATTTCATTTCACCCGAACACATATTGCTTCAATCTATGCAAAATAAAAGAGCAGGTCAGACTTTCCAAGTAGCCAAAGTTATATATTCCCGTGGAATTTGGAAAGCTCCATGACTTCTAGAATCGGGGCTGAGCAACTGTCTAAACATGCCACTTAAGGAATTCATTCCCGATGAAATGACAAATAGCTAATGGATTGAGACACTCTCGGTCATTTTACACAATGAAAGGACTTTGCTGTAAGCCAACAAGTTTCCACTTGCGCCACATGACTTGGAACTATATATATATAAAGCATATGATGCAAAAGTTTGTAATAGAGACATTGCAGCTTTTTCATTCCAGCAGTAGCCAATGAATGTTTACTAGCTTTGGACTGCCACACACCAAGAAACACTGTGGCTGAACGCAACTGAAATGGACCATCACAAAAAAAAAAAATTACAGTTGGCCACTCTACGCTGTACACCAAGCGATTCAGCACCACACATCGACTGGCATTGTGCAATGGAAAAACTGTTACCCTGTATCGTGTTTTGAGGCTATTTATTTTTATTCAACCACAAAAACATACTGCGATTGTCAAGGATTACCGCAAGGAGAGGAATTGAGGGTGGCCTGAAAGCATTGTGGGGATATTGCCAATGATCGAAAATTTTATTTGTATTTATTTATTCTTTGTGAAAGTTCATGTGTGTTTTTGATTGGCTGTTCTATCTGTAACGTTGTAATCTTGCCACACCGTTAGCCAGCAATTTTTAATCGCAATGAAACCAGTGGCCCGACAATGTCATTGTAAGGCACTAAAATAGCACACAACAAAACTTTCATCCTTACAAAGTGATTGGTCAGCAGATGTATATCTGTTTGCAAATTTTGTTTCTTCTTAAAGAATGATCTCTCTCTCTCAATGTATTTCTGATCTTTCTTAATCCTCTTCTTATTTTTTTGGGACTTGGGCAGAAAAACAGAGTTCATCAGCAGTTACATGAGCATCTTCAGGATGCCATGTCTTTCTTAAAGGACGTCTGCGAGGTACTTTAGATTGAGCTGGTAATCTGTAATGTATTTCATAAATCATCGTCCATTGTTTCGGGTTGCTCTTATGACCTTGACATGCAATCGTTATTTTTATTTTTTCAATCAGCTTTTTTTGCCATTGTTAAATTGTCTTATTAGCTTGCCACAATCTGCTTGAGTGCAGTTGTTAATCCACTCCATTCACTTCCACACAAGCAAGTATATTTGTTGATGTTTGGGGCTCTTGTGTGCATTTGAATTTTCTTTTATCTTCACTTTTCAAGTCCACGCCATCCAATCAGTGTTTTCAATTTTTGGCCCTAATATGCTTATACTAAGCTGCTCTGTCATTCTTTTCTCACTCCTCTCCCTCCCCCTGACCTTCCACTCTACAATCCCTCTGCGCCCCTCAGTCGCGAATGGAGGATCGTCTTGACCGACTGGATGATGCAATCCTTGTTCTGAGGAACCACGCAGTGGGCTCCACTGCCAGTCTACCCACCGACATCCACAGTCTGCTGGGACAGGCACAAAATGGGCAACTGGCAGCCATTGGCGCAAGTTTCCCTGCCTCAGCGTTGACTCCTGGTCGGACAACAACAATGGTATGAAGACCATTTTCATTTTTCTGTCTCCCTAATTAAGATATTGTGTTTGAAATGCATCTGGGAAAATAAACTTTTTTTTTTTTTTACATCTGACTACTGCCACCTGTTCAGAAATAATTCATCATCATGTGACAAAAGCACACATCCCACACAGAGTTGGTCCACTGACATATTTTCCATCAGTGTAATCACCGGATGCTGTTTCAGACTCCATTTCACTTAACTGCATACACACACTAGAGTGAAACACAAATTTGAAAAATATATGTGATTTCTTGTCTGAATTCAAGAGATTTTAATTATCTTTCCAATACAAATGAAGAAGAGACAGTGCAGCTTACTGTAGGATATAACCCCCAAATAGCTTCAGCTTTAATAAAATCTCTGCTGTAAAAATGGAAGACTTCAACATTATTTTTCTCCCCAGCATAATAATGATTATTGTATGTACCACTGAACACAATTTTCTCCTTCACCTTCCTTTACGTCCAGTTAAGTGATCCAGAATGTTTGCGTAGAATTCAATTTGTATTTGTTAAATGGGTATCTTCTGGCTGCAAATGACATACGTGAAATCGCAAAATATTGTCAGAGATTGTGTTAAGGGATGTTCATGACTAATATTTCCCGTTGTGAATGTTTCTTACAGTTGCAAAATTATTCGCATCTGACCACACTGTCCAAACACAATCCTTTGTGCCATTCTCAAGAATCCTAGTTACTTCTACTAGGGATGCATCGAATGTGGTTTCAAATACATACAATTGAGTATTCACCAATGCAAAGTACTGATAGTACGAGTGTTTTAGAAAAAAAATCAAATATTGTTGAAAAACATACACCAAAAAAAAAAAATGGGGAACATGGCATCAGCTTTGCTCAAATATAATACAGATGCAGCTTGTCATGACTGACATTTTAACATCCAACTTGATGTTTAATAACTGTTATCATGCATGTTAAACTGAAGGTAACACATCACGACTGACAGGGCTCCTCCTCTACCTGCTTGAAAGGTATTGTAGTGTCGGAGCATTTTTGTTGATTACTGAAACGACTATAGTTCAGATGTACGATATCCCCAACTTCCGCCAATATTAAGAACACTGTATTGAGAAACAACAGAAATAATTGGCATCTTCGATAAAATGCAGAATTGGGCATGGCCAAGTTTTTAATACATGGAGACCTTACTGTACTTAGTACTATTCTGAATTTCTGCAATTGTAGATCATTTCAACGAGACTCATGTAATTTGGTCTTTTCAAACTGTTTGCACAGCCCATACATGAAATGTCTAGGTTCTCAATGGATTTTGTTGTGTTTGTTATCGAGCACCATGCTGTGGCAGTAATGTTTAAGCGACTGTGACTGCCAGATAGAACATGCTGTGTTTGCACTAACATAGGTCTTCCTGTGTGGGGAGAGCTCCCCTCAAACAGGCTCACCAGCCTCGACACAGCCACAGGCTTTTAGTCTGGATGACAGCCACCCGCCCCCTCCACCCACCCTCCTTTTTTGTACCCCTTTTCATCGCTTCTTTTTAACAAGCAAGGAAATCTGAATAGTCGGGAACGTGTGTCTGCACCCCGTGCCTCCTCAGCTGTATGATAATCAGGCCCAGCCATGAAAATGGCAGCCTTCTTTTCTTGCCAGAACCCCAGCTTTCCCCTCCTCCTCCTCCTGCGCACAAAGACTTGTTAGGGCACCTGTTGAGAGCACAGCAACGATTAGTGTAGCACTGAAGAAAGGGACGGTTTTGGAGTAAAGGGGGTAACAGAGGCCAACAGTGACAGGGGATTACATAAATAAACATTTGGGGAGGGGGAATGCAGGGCGATACCCTCCAGCCTCAGTGACACTTTCCCCGTCTTCTCTTGGAAGTAGAAGGAGAACTGAAATAACTTTGGGGGGGGGGGACATGTGCTGAACATCTGAAAAAATGCGGATTGTGGTTGTACGTGCTGGTTGTTGACTATTTGCCACTCATGAATGTGTACATAATGAGAGTGTTATGTCGCAACCGGGGATTTAGACTACTTTGACGTCTTTTGAAAGTGAACACCAAAGAAATCTAAAAATAGTCTCCTTTTAGACATGAAAAAGAGTCTTAGTTGTGGTTAAAGACAGCCATGAGTAAACTGTGTCTCATACTGTTTGGAATGACTTATTAGATCCCCAAGTTGTCCTGTGATGTACAAAGTTGAAACGATGTCCCCCCACCCCCCAAGAAATTAATGTGTGTTTAAAAGCAGCAATGATTCGATGAATCACTGAAGCCCTTTTTTCCACAGTATTTTTTTTTTTTTTTTGCACACCTTGTACCAGGCACTTGCTTGAAAGTCTTCCAGAAAATCCAACCATTTTTTTCTCTCTGTTTGGTCTTGTATTGTTGTTTCATTTGCAGAGGATGTCAACTTCCCGTCTTGACAATGCATCTCCTGTTTTTGTTGCAGGTTTCTTCACATGCTGACGACACAGCAAGTCTGAACAGCCACGGAGGCCTACCAAGCACTGGCTCCACGTCCAGCACAGAACTCAACCATCAAGTGGAAGCATTCAGAGGTCCGATACTTGCTCTTGACTCATTTTATGGCTGATAGGCAGCTCACCTTAACTTACCTTTTTCTCGCCTCCCGCTCCTTTTCCAGGCTTGGCTGGTCAGGTGGCCGCCACCTTGGCGCTGAAAGTGGAGAAGCAGGACAAGGATGACATGAATGACTCGCTCTCAGGGGATGACAAGTCGGATGATGAGAGCGACAGCCTGAAAACACCACGCGCTGGCACACGCACAAGGTAAATTCCACATATTTTTGCTGAACAGAAAGTAATAGCTACCTGTTTGTGAAAAAAAAAACAGCTATTTAATTTTGAATCATTTAATGATTCATTTATGAGCTATCCATTTGTTCTATCCATTCATTCTCTAAACCGTTTATCCTGTTCAGGATCTATCCATGCTCACTTTAGACAAAATGCGGAGTATACCCTGGACTGGTCGCCAATCAATCACAGAGCTCATATAGAGACAGACAACAATTCATATTCCAATAATCTGTGCTTCAAGCTAGCACGGCACCCCACATGACGCTATCAGCTAATCAAATTGCATAGTCCCATAGAACAGTTCTTGACCAGGTTTTCCATATGACTTTGTTGCTAAATTTACGAACTTTTTCACACCCAAGTAGGGATTTATTTTTATCCAAAGAATACATTTCAGTTAAATAGTGTTGCTCTAGCGTTGTATACCAAGTGTGAGGTTTTTCTCCCACTCTCTGTCTCCTCTATTGAGTGACAGAGAGCTGTAGTGGGCGATAGCGGCTTCGAGATGGGAACGGGTAACAGGTAGTTCTTACGGAGCCACGATACACTCGGTATTTCATATTTGCCCCATTGGCAGACAGCAGAGACAGAAAATATGTAAATGAGAAAAACTGAACTTGGAATTTAGCTGTATTAAAATATTGTGTATGTGCATGGATTTCACAGCTCAGAGTTTTCATGCAGTTCTTAGCCCCTGGGCTCATCACCCTGGCTATGGCGGTGCCATGGATACTATCATGCGGTTTGGCCTCTGTCCAACCCATCAGCAGTTCATTCGTCAATCAGATGATGATTGATTTTTGTAGTAATGAAGTTCATTTTGATGTCACCATCCAAGTGAAATCTTATATTAGTGTTGTGATGTTCATTAATGAGTCGTCCTTTTGAATGGCTCTTTTGGGGTGAACGATGAGTCTTTTCGCATTTGTGAGAGAGCTGTCTTTTTTTGCAGCAAATTTGGGATGGTATTTGGTAACATTGAAACAATCTGGTTAAATATGCAAAATATAAGGTACAAGTGCAGAAAATTACTGTTCTGCAAAGTTTGGGGTGGAATTTATGAGTGTCTATTGTGAGAACTGTAGAATATCGGAGCAGATGAAAAAGTCCTGGAAAAGTCACTCAAAATCCGGGAAATGTCCTGGAAAATAATTTCAAGAAAAGAGTGGCAACCTCGCTTCCTTTTCAAAAGTGTTTTCATGTACCCGACAGTCTGACCGAGGACGAAGACCTGAACCCTGAGCAGAAAGCGGAGCGAGAGCGGGAGCGGAGAATGGCCAACAACGCCCGGGAACGCTTGCGGGTGCGGGACATCAACGAGGCCTTCAAGGAGCTGGGCCGCATGTGCCAGCTGCACCTGAAGAGCGAGAAGCCTCAGACCAAGCTGCTCATCCTCCATCAGGCCGTGGCGGTCATCCTCAGTTTGGAGCAACAAGTCAGAGGTCTTTACTAGTTGAAATTCACTTGTTCAAATATGAATTCTTGCCTTGTTTAACTTTGACATTAATATTTATTATTAGTGCAATAACGTCAGAAGTATTTATATGGTCCTTAATCACAAAGGAGTCTCAAAGGGCTTCTCAAAAAAAGTCTCAAAAAATAAGATCTTTTTCTGCCTTTTGATAATAAATAAACCGAAAGTACTTTTCGGTTTATTTTTTCCCCCTTCATCTGTACTGCTCGCCGCGGCTTTGTCCGAAATATAATCAAATGACATTGTCTTATTCTTCTGACTGTTTGGCCCCATAGAGCGGAATCTAAACCCCAAAGCAGCCTGCCTTAAGAGAAGAGAGGAGGAAAAAGTGTCGGGCGGTTCCGGTGATGGTCAACAAGGTCACACGGGGGTCCACCCAAGCTTGACTGACACATCCAACCCCATGGGCCACCTCTGAGGCCCGGACAGGTACACTAAACTCTGCAGCCAACTCGTCTTTTCATGATCTACTGACAAAATGTCAAGGTCCTTCTCTCATCTCTTTGTCACCAACAGTCCAAAAGCCAAACTTAGTGTGTTTTATCTCATATAAAACGGAAGCAAAACATAACAACGGCCCTTCACATTGGACAAGCTACAGTAGGACTAGGTAACGTTGGGCCGCTCTGTTTGATAAATCACGAAATGAATCAACAATTGAACATCTTGCCAGTTCATTCCCATGTGATCAAGTTCCTGATTGAACATCTCGAGAGGTGGCGCACGACCAATCAGTTCATGTTTCTGATTTGAAAATACAGATTACGGTGGATAGAGAAAGTGAACACACCCCTGTTTGAGATGTGAAACAAATGACTCCAATCATATTTTTGAAACTTTTGCCACCTTTAATCTGCTCATCGATCTATCTATTTCTCTATCTATCTATCTGTCTATTTATCGGGCACTTACAGTCACCCTACGCCACCTCGGTCTCACAATGACATTGTATACATACTCGAACTGCGCGTGCGCAACAGAAATTTCGTGCTCTTGGGCAGCGCCTTTGGCGTTCAGTAGGGATGATTATAGAAGTATCTTTCTATCTAGATAGCAATGGCTCCAACTCTCAATCAGTCCTATCTACAATGTCTATCTCTGTCCGTCTCTATATATTTCTCTAGCTTTCTCTGTCTAGCTCTTTACCTCTCTATCACTTCGCTCTGTCTCTCATGCTATCTATCAGTATCTACTTACTTGATGTAACTAGCTCTCCAGCTCTCTCTATGTCTATCACTCTCTCTATTTCGCTGTTTTTCAGCACCAGTCCTTGCGCTATGTGGCCAAAGCATTGAACCAGTGTGTGTGGTCACTCTCTGTATCAACTACAAATGTGTTTCGCATGTTGTTTGATGTCATAGCACCACCTCTTTGATACGATTTGTCTCGTCTGTGACAGATCCCGCACGCAGAACATTTCGTCCCGTCTGAGATGGCGACTTGGCCTCCTTGTGACGGAGGGGGCTCCCCGCTGCGTTTTACGCCACTTTGCGGAGGAGAATAGACCACCAGAAGCCAAAATCACTCAAGACTAACACAATCCAGTCCCAAGACTGACAAGGAGCCTGCGCGGCAGTCCGTCCGCAAATTTTGCCCCCAAAAAGCGAGAAGAATCTCAAGCACATATCACGCAGATCTGTAAGAAGCGTGTCGCTTCTGAACAATCATACTTTGCAATCTCTTCCAACTTCACGTGGAGGTTGCCTCGTGCCTAAACTGAATTGACGAATGCATTGTAACAGCAGCTTTTTTTTTTCTTTCTATTTATTACGTCCTTGAGCTCCAAGTGTATGTCTTAAGGGAAAATGTAGACAGTTTTCAGTTTAACCTGTAGTTTGCCAGTGTCGTTACAAAACAAAGCACTCCAGCCTGGCAAGTGAAATAAGGGAAAAAGTAAGATTGGCTATGTTCGAAATCGCTCCCTATCCACTATTTGGTACCCTTTCTTGTGAGTTTGCCATTTTGCCATGCTTTGCAAATGTCTCGTGAGCATCAATTAGCAACTGTTTCGTGCTTTTCATGTATCCCTTGATGCATCTTGAAATGAGGTGGAAAACTACAAAAATCAAATCGGAGTTGTGTCAGAAAAGTCCCAGGACTTGTGTCACTCAAGATAGAGTTCAAATCCAAACTATGAGTTTCTGCTTTAGTGTGGGGAGATGAGCAACCGGCACATCTGCTCCCAAAGCCCTGAGCATCGGACAGTTTCTGGCAGAGAAGAACAGCGCACTGCTGGAGGGAGAAACCTTTCTATCCACACAACCTGGCTCCGTTTGATTTCTTTTTCCCCCCCCCAAGCTCAAGGTGGGGCGTGGGGGGAAGTGTTTGCTTTAAAAACGTGGATAAGATCACGATTGCTGCGACGACAAGGCTGCGAAGACTCGAATTAAAAGAAGTGATGATGGGACAGAGAAAGGTGCGAAAGTGTTTTGGACTCCAAGGTGATTACTTCCCAAGGGAAAACTCGTCGTTTGGATTTGGAAAACTATCGTTTTTCATCAGTCCTGGATCTTTTCTAACACATCTCGTACATCCCATTATGCCTTGTGATGACAAAAAAATTTTCGTTTCCGGGGTATTGTTTGATTGTTGGCAAGAGGCAAAGTGATAAGTAATGGTGCGAAAATATCTTTAAGAGAGCAACACATCACAACACAAATGGATATAAAGTGCTTTATTTGTATTCGTTTTGTAAAATACACAATAAATTCACAAATATGGTCTTATTATAGTTTATTTATTTGTTCAATATTTATTTCAAAAGTTCCACCAGCTGACATCTGTTGATCCGGTACATTTGCGAATTGGGTTCAAAACAATTTTTCATTTGAATAATGAAAGTACACTATCGAGTTCACTTTGTTGTTAGTCTAGTAATATCATTGCATGTGTCAATTTTAACTTACACTTCCAAAATATTTAAAATCTACCGATGTAATGGAAGAATGCCCCCATCCACCCTGTTTTCCAAAAACGTTAAAAAATGACTTTGGCAACTATCCTATTAGGCTAATGATTAAAAAATAAAATCACTATACAATGGAACCTTGAGATACAAGTACAATTGTTCTGTGCAGAGGAAAAAGAAGATCTGCCTGTGAGTATTGTTATACTGTGTTTGTACGTATGTTGCTTGCACAATTTATGTTCAATTAGCGGTTGCCTAAAGGGATATAATTGATTTCCCATTATGCGTTAGCATTAAGTTAGTGGATTTTTCTACAAAGTTATAATGTTGTTTAGGACACAAAGGTGAATTAAGTAGAGTTTGCTGTCACGACACTATGCTTGTATCATATTTTTCCTCACAAGTCCAAACCAAAAAAAAAAATCTGCTTCACAATGGCTTTTGTCTTCAAAAATAAATAAAAAGTCAGGTCACTCATATCGCAAAGCATCACTGTATAGTGAGTAGGGAATGGGCGGATGACTCCGAACACAGCCATTCATGTATTGGCCCATTTTTTTCTTAATTTTTCCAGAAAACGCGTGGAACCAAAAGTTTTTGTTAGTTTCGTTTTGGTAACGTTCTAGTCCTCGGTGAGAAAAAAAAAACCTCAAGTTTGATTGGAAGTTCCCATTTTATTTGACATTGTAATGGGTTTTAAATACTAATAATACAGCAAACATAGCAAATCTTCACATTCCCTGCCTATTTGTAGCGTCTTTACTAAAGGAGATGCCTTCAGCCGTAGAGTAGTCGACATACGCACGTGTAATTTGACACTTAACGTTTTGCTTCCAATCCCTGATATTCTTTTTAAACAAATAACGACGGCCACTTTTTCGCCTGGACTGATTACATTAGGTCTTTGTCTCAACACAAAAACAGTAGGTATGCATTTATGTCAAGTCATTTCTTCCAGCTTCCACTTATATTTTGCTCAGTCCTAATAAAAGAAGCCAGACCTGATATTTCACACTATGCTGAACATATATATAGATAAAAGAGGTCATTTTGTGGGATTGTAGCACAACAACGAACAAAAGATTCGATTTCCCTTTGGCAATGGCTTTATTTATATGTTTTGGTGTGCATGTTTTTTTAAGTGTTTGGTTCTTTATATTCCATTTAGTTGTCTGTATATTGTCTCACAAAGCTTCTGTGCAAAAAAAACCCCCAAAAAACAAAAAAAAGGACTTCCATTAGAGTCAAAGTAAAAGTTTACATTCAGAATCTATCATTGAACAGTTTTAGTTTGTCTTTTGCGTGCGTGCGTCTGCGTGTGTGTATGTGTGTTTCCTTGGTCGGTATGTGGCCTTGTTGCTCATGACAGTATTCACATGTGTGTATTCATGATTTTAGTATACATGTGAGTTCCTGCTCCATTTCCTTCATTTTGTATGTTCCGCTTTGTATTTCTTTGCCAAGTTGCTGTATTCTCACATGCTTTTCCCTTGTGTAATATAGAAAAAAGGAAAATCAAAAGCAAAGCGGTTTAAAAAAAAATTGGGTTATTTTTCACTGTAGGTAGTCTTTTATACAATAATACTGTAAGAATATTTCTTGAATTCTAAATATTACTCTTTCTAGATTTTTGGAAGCAAAGGTTTTGAGTAAAAAGTTTCTTACTTTATTTTACTATATTAGGTAGTAAAATGTACGCGGTCACTTAACCATAACCTGTTTTGTTATTCCCGGAAATGTCAATGTCCATTCGCAAGTCTCTCGTGGTTGACTGAGAAACATTTGTGTCAAAACGTCGAACATGTTGTCTGTGCACATCTGGAAAAGGCGGCAATGAAAATTACAGTTTTTTTCAACAGAAAAACATGATGTATATAACATTTATGTTGCAATAAATGTGCCATCTTTTTTAAACTCGAGTTGTTTAGCTGTTTACTTACAACCTGGGCATACCTCTGTATTGTTTTAAAAATAGAACAAAAATCTCACACACAAAGATTCGCACGCTGACCCAAAAGCCTTCTTGCACCAAAATCTCAACAAAAAACTGGCCAACAACAACAAAAAATTCTCACAGTCGCCTATCAAACTTACCACCCAAAAAAATTCTAACACCAGAAAACCCAAGACGCACAGAAAACTGTCACATACAAAAACAACTCTTACATACAGCAAAACACTCGAACGCGTCAAAAAACTCACACAAACCCCACAAAACTCACACTCATGCTAAAAATTTACACCTACCCCCCAAAAATTCACTTACGCTTACACCTAAAAAACTCGCATGCCTAAAAAGAAAAAATCTCTCATGGTTTAAAAAAAATAAAAAATACACACGCACACAAACCCAAAAACTCACTCACACGCACCAAAAACATCACCAAAAAAACCCTCACACATTAAAAACGCTCTCATAACAAAAACTGTCACACATAAAAAAAAAAAAAAAACTCTTAGTCGCCCAACAATCTCAAACCACATCAAAAAAATATCTCACACCCATTAGAAAACCTCTTGGAGACACAAAAAAATGTCATACACATGCAACAAACTCTCACATTAAAAATACTCACTTGACAAAACTACTCTGATGCACACCAAAATCTCTCTCATGTCACTTGCACCCAGAAATTCTAATACAACAAAAAAACTCCCACTGTCACCCAAAAACTTCAAAAAACTCACATTCACCACCAAAAATTCTAGGACACCTAAAAATATAAATAAAGCTCTCGCACATTCCAAAAAACAACTAATTTAAAATAGGTTTTCATTTGTTTTTCATTACCTTCATTTTCCCTCCCAGATTTTCTTTTTATTAGTACTTTGTTTAATCTTGTTGCTTGGTTTAAGGTTCCGAGCACAACCTGTCACTCCAGTATGGCTTGTGACTGAGATGAATGCATCCCGAAAGGCTGGTAAAAACGTGTCTCAGTGCTCCAAAAACCCTGGAATTGTGCAGTGCCGTAAATCATGTTTGCGGCGCATCTGTGTGGAATGATCACATTCCAGATGTGTGCACCCCTCGCAACCTCCAAGGTCTGCGAACCCACATCCGCTTTCCGAAGCTCCGACCGGGGGCCACGTTAATCACTGTCGTTTCGTTTCAATACTTCTGGGGGAACAAGTGAGAGTGTTAGACCAGTGGACTGTTTTTGTTTTTTTGTTTTTTTTTTTTGGGAGGAGCGAGACCACCGTGTCTGCAGGCTGACTTCCTGTCACGACCGCCGGGCCAAAAAGGCCTTGGCTGGTGTCCTCCCAAACGGTCTAAGGAGTTTGCGGCTCCCTGCAGTGAATGCACTCGGTTCCATTATAGCTAAATCTCAGGAATTAATGAGTCTTTGGTAACTCATTTTTTTATTTCCTCTCACACAGTGCAAAAGACTTATCTTCACCAAAGTTTCTGACAAACACCCAGAAACTCACACATTCACCCAAAAACTCTTTCCCTTTCTCTCTCTCCCCGTCACACACACCAACTCTTACTAAAACCGATAAGGACTCACTTCCACCAAAACAGCTCTCATATGCAGAAAAACCTCTCTCACCAATAAAGTCTCTCACGACTCACAAAAAAACTCCCTCTCTCACCCTATAAAATACTCTCACTGGCACTGATAAAAAAAAAAAACAAAAAAAACAAAAAAAAACGTCTTATTCACATAGACCTCTCACACCCCAAAACACCTCCACATACACCTAAAACATCTTATGAATACTCAAAAAATCCCACGAATAAACTGTCTCTCTCTCACACACACACACACACACACATTAAAAAAACTAGACGACGAACACAAACCTTCCACTTACCAAAAAAAAAACACCCCAAAAAACTGTCAAAAACTCTCACACTGATCAAAAATTCACTCATAAAAACAAACAACAAAAAAAAAACCCCTTCCACACAAAAAAAAAAAACCTCACTCACTTGACCTGCAGCGTGTCAAGGGTGTGGCTAATGAGGCATTATAGCCCATCCACAGTACAGCATCCCGATTATGTATTTACAGACGGGGAAGGGGAAGGGCCATGACTTGGGAAAACGTTTATCTACCCCACTCCCAAAGTGTTTCAAAGTAGGTTTTAAATATGGCCAGTATTTTAAATTAGGGTTTGAAACTCAACTTAGTACAGTATTTCAGAGTTGAGTTTTACACGAGGCTAAGGGTTTCAAGTTTTAGGTTTTCAAATTAGAGTTCCAAACCAGAGGTGTGCAGACATCCTAATAATCATCATAACAATCTTAATAATCCTAATGGTAATAATAATGAAAAGAAGGAGAAACCAAGGCGTGGTGTGAAACAAACTATGTACAAATACTAAGCAGCTTGAATAATAGGTGGAGGGATACATTCAAAATATCTAAGAGGAACAATAATTGTGAAAAACAATACTGATAATAATTCAAATATTATTGTAGTAATATTTTAGTGATAGTCATAAACGCATTGTCATTGACATTGATGATGATGATGATTAGATATTAGTTTCACATACAATTTAACATTTTAACAACCCCCCCCCAAAAAAAATAAAAATCTAATTTGTATTTGTACTGCGTTATATTTCGTTTTGTATCATCAGAAGAATTAAAATTATATCGCATTCATCAAGTTACTTTATGCTCCACAAGACGGCGCTGTCGAATTCAAAGACTTGCAGACCCTTCATAAAAAGTATGGAGTAAGGATTTCATTTTATACGTTATTTGCACAATTTAACCTCACTGTACTCGTCTCAAATGTAAATATTTACGTGGTAACTGTTGTTGATTGGTGAAACAGCTCAATCCACTTGTGATTTTCCATCTGCGACTGTCAGGTAAAGCATTTGGTATGCTTTCAAGTGTCAGGGCTGGTCCAGTTCGTGGTGGTGCTCGTGGACCACCGGCCTGCTGCAGGGTATCCTGGTGGGCGGGTCGGTGCGCTCGTTTCAGCAGGCGGGGCGAGCCGGAGCGAGAGTCGGGGCTGCGAGCGTCCTTCTCCTCCTCCTCCTCAAACTGTCTCCCTCAGTGAGTAGTACTGCGCTAATTAAGTTGATAAAGCGCGACCCGGTTACTTTGCTTGCTGCTTTAATATTAAATAAAGATATTTTGTTGTTATAAAAACGACAGGCGAAGAGGACGACTGCTAGTGGTGAGTAGCTGACGCTTTCCAGTGATGTTCGTACGTGTTTGTCGTGAGCGACCAAACTCAACAAGTTGAAACCAAAGACAATTACAGCACCCCTGCTCGCTTTCGATACGGTTTCGGGCGTTTATGTCACGTTTTAAACCACGTTTTAAATCGCAGTTAGTTGCTTGAGTGCTTTGAAGCCACCTGTTGCACCGAGTAGCGATGTGACTGTCTTCAAAGTGCGTCAGTTTAAAACGTGAATTGTTCTTAGCTATCGAACTTTCTCCTCATAAATATACTACTTGAGTTAAATTGATAGAACTACTTTTATGATTTTGACACTCACGGAGTTTCAATGGGCGGTGGTGGGGAGTAACGAAGTACAAATACTTTGATACTGCAGCCCACGTACTTATATGTAAACAGAGTGCGAGTACGTTTGCCACCTCTGCCAAGAGGCAATTCTCAATGAGGTTACGTAAGTTTTTCATATTTTCCCAGAGTGTAAATCCCTGCTTAAGTGATTTAGCTCGACTTTATTTTGACGTTCTTCTCCAAATGGCGCCGATTACAGCGCTTTTGTTTTCCTCTTGTGGGCTTGAGCAGGTTATCAGCATGGTCAGGCCTCCTCACGCTTCACAAGTAATTCCCACGGTGAGATAAAAATGTGCTCCGTAAGATCAAAAGCGAGGATTTGAAATTCTAACCTGGGCCCTGTGGTGAAGCCCCAGCACACAGCTTGTAAAAACATTCGGGGCATCTCACTTTTCTCATTAGGGAAAATAAGACAGCGATTCATTCATTTTGTGTATATTCTACATTTAGTGAAAATTTATTTTACATCTCCCACACTCTTGAAACACAATTCACTTAAACTTGAAAGTGTAAATCACTCAAATTTTCTTTAGCCCTCATTCTCTCTCCAAAAATGGACACTTGAAACAACATATTTAAACATGTTCAAACACCAAAATGTTCAAATGGGATCAATTGGTGTGACACTGCAGCAGTTTGACAAACATTGGAGAATAATCATCTATGTCAGAAAGGTCTTTAATATATTTTTTTTGTCATTATGCTAGATATTTTATTTATTTATTTGAAATATACACCTGCGATTGGCTGGCAACTGGTTCAGGGTGTCCCCCGCCTATTGCCCGAAAACGGCAGGGATAGGCTCCAACACCCCCGCGACCCTTGTGAGGATAAGTGGATCGGAAAATGGATGGGTGGAATACATTTAGAGAAATGTAAACTCCACACTGGAAGGCTCTAATTGGAATCCCAGCCCTCATCATTTTGAGTCAGAGAGCTAACCACGTTCCACCGTGCTGATGGTAAAATACAATGACAGGAAAATGGTTGCACAGTCCTTGGACTGAAATGAAATCTTCTGTTGCTAGCACAAATTGCCCTAAAATTCACACCTTCTCAATTATCTGCCTTTATGTCAGGAGCGGAACAATATCATTGTCCCTGCTGTAATCTTGGAACTATTACTGTTGTTGATACAACTGTTGTTGTGCCCATTGTTCTCTCATTCCGTCCTTGGCTGATCAACACCTCGATCTTGTTTTCTCTCCCTAGCTAGCCTCTGTTCCTCTATTTTGTCTATGCTTCTTAAATCTACCATACGTGGAAGACGACTAACCCACAAAGGCCAGGTTCTGTGTGAGGTTTCCTCCTTAGAGGAAGTTTTTCTTTGCTTCCGTCACCAAGTGCTTCTTCATTTGGAGTTCAGTTGGTTTTCTTAAATACGTATGGATATGTATTAGGAGTGTGGTTCTTGAC